ACAATGTATTTCAGTTTCATTTCGGTTTATTCTTTTTTTTTTAGTGATTTATACAACAACGTTAAACTATAATTTAGATGCTAATCCAAAAAGGTATTTTCAGCGCTGTGCTTTAACCATAAGGTACCCTAGGGTAATCGCCTATTCACATCTACTCCGTAATTTTTATAAATTTGGCGCTCCCTTAAATTATTTCGTCCTAGGACGCTTGCTTTATTAGCTCTCCTCCTTTAGCACGGCCCTAGATATACTCTTATATGATATTATAAAAAAAAATATATAATATCTCACATAACGCGTGCCAGTCACTAACTGGACTATTGAAAAACAAATTTAAGCCAACATAATATAACGTTGTTGTGCAGTCATGGTTAATTATACTATTGTACATTGCTGATGTAATTATTGCATCTTTTTGGGGGATTCTATCTAAAAAGATTCAGCCAGGTAAGGAAAAAAGAGGAACGATTTTAATTTTAACTTATACGTTTAATATAATTTTATATACTCATTTTCCTTATATTACCAATACAAAAATATAATTAGAACGGGTTCATTTTATGTTTTTATTATATTCTACTCTTTATAATTATTGTTCGTTTTATAAACGGTTCCGTGTCGCTGATTTCCGCCCCATTTCTTTAAACAAATATTTATTAGGACATATCTAAGTATATATATATATATATATTCGTTATTATAGTAGTTTTTCATGATTTCCGTGCAAATTTGTCACGTGCATTGGTCATTGTTGAGTGAACAACGACTTTGAAATTCTTTATGTAACAGAGTGGCTATACGGTTAACTGAGGTTAAATAATATGTCGGTGCGCGGACACGGTCACCACTATCATTATTGTAAAATTCTATATTTTTTATAAAAAATCTGTTGCACTCCCGGTCACTAAACCCTCCTATACACACAGCAGCGACGGGTTCACGAGGCCGATTTGTCGTGAAAATGTGCGATTTCATCAAAAGTGATTGTGGATTTTCTATTACAGCGTAGCTTATTATTATTGTAACGCCTAGTCTGTCACTGGTGATTTTTTTTTTTACCTCAATTATTAGGCGCTGACCGAAGTTGATAATCATATTTTGTTTTATGTGATGCGTGTTGCGTTAAGTAACGACGCAAGTCACAACATTATGCTGCGAGTTATGCACGAAGGCTTGCGTGATTTGTACCCTATCGGAATTGCTTGTCTAAAGCCTGATGTAATAATGGACCTAAATAAAATGATAATCATGTTTTTGTCAATTATTAGTCAATTGATCATTGACTAATAGTGTAGAAAAGCTGATAACTGGTTGAATAATAAAAAAAAAAAAAGCTGTAATGGCCCCCAAAGCAGAAAAATAACAAGAATTATTTAAAAAACGCCAATAACATAATATAACATAAACAAACGTAGACATTTCAACAGCATTAAACACATTAGCTATGCAAGCATATGGAGAATGTCCGATATCGAGAATTTAGAAGATCGATATAAACAAAACCGAACGTCAAAACCATCGTGTAAAAATTTAGGTATTTGATGTTAAAAACAAAACGCTAACCAATTCAGTCAACAGTGTACTTTAGTGCAATTTTTTTGAATTCTTGATAGGAATTTTTATAGGATATTATAAATGACTTAAAAACAACAACTTATAACTACACACTTTGTTGTTTTTGTCGCGCGAGCGTTTAAATTCAATACATTTTGGACATTTCATTGAAGTTCTTAAATCAATTTATACCCACGCTATTGGCAAAGGAACGGTTCGTGAACATGTGACGCGAATTTTTCTCTTATATTAACTTTAATAACACAATTAACAATTATTTTTCAAATTTCAAGTACTTCGCAAATCAAACTATATTTGTTAGTATACTGAATGTTCTCCTACTTGTGAAGAATCATTCTTAATTATTCATTATCAATGTTTTGGGTTATACACTAGTTTTATGATAGATTAAATATACATGGACTACGGCCATATCGAACTGTCAGAACAATAAGGCCATAACTCAAAAAAAGCAAATGTTCAGGAAACCAATACTAAAACTTAGAACAAAATGATAATTTGTCCACTGACCAAAAAGTATTTTCGAGGGCTCATACATAATTATAATATATTGTTCTGACTCAAAGAACTTGTTTTAGAACATGAGCCATATTTCTTTTTACGGCAAAATTGTACTTAGGAATCTAAACATAGACGTTCAATGCAATAAGGGTTTTTGGCGAATATAATTTTTATTAATATCAGGAGGTAGATGGCGCCACTTCAAAAAAAAAGAGAAAAAAAAAAATACGAATTGATAGACACCAAAAACAAGAAAATCATAAATTTGGAGTTGCGGCCTTATTATTCTGACAGTGCGATATATTTGTTTAACAACCCAATTTTTAACGCTATCTATTATATTGCGTCGATTTCGTTATAACATAACGTTGCCGTTTTTCATATGGCCATGGACTATGTATGTATATTTAATCTATGACTGTATAGTGTATATGTTACTAAATTATAATTTATTACTTCTAAATAATATTGTAGGATACCTAATATATGTATATTATATAAAAATGTATTATACCTATCCAATGACAATACCTTAACATACTTGTACCTTCACACAAATCTATTTCACTCTTTATTGATAAAAAAAAAAGAAACTTCATACAATTGACATCTAATGTGATGCAATTTTGCAGAGAAATAGTTGAAATAAAAACAAATTATATTCTTTAACCCTTTCAGTCCCTAGTGCCATCACAATGGCAAGACTTTTTCGCAGAATTTTGAAGATAACTCTTTCAGTTTTAATGTAAGAACAGTGATATCAACACCAAAACACGCACAATTTAATTTCTCGTCAAAAATGTACTTATTGATTTTTAATATACTCTGCGCCATGAGAGAAGTAACCCGTTGCTCGACCGAAACGCGTCCGATTCCGCGCATCGCCACCGATAGGCCACACCCACGGTCGGCGGCGGCGGCGGCGCTGCATATATAGGGTGTATTATAACGTAAACTCGATACAGCGTGTCACAAGTCATAAGACTCACGTCTTACGTCTTTGAACCACGCGCTTGCGTTTACTGTTGAATTATTACATTATTATATTATTATTATAATAATAATATAATAATAAATAATATATTATATATTATATAATAAATATTAAATTTATATTTAATTTAAATATTCTTTAGTTTTAATTTATATAATTAAGTTATACACGAAGGTTTGGGATGCGTCATTTCTTTGCCTGTACACAAAAACCTCTGACCTCACTTGACCTGGTTGTAAAAATATGTTATAATAATAACATATTATATTATTATAATAAATAAAATAATAATATAATAAATTATATTAATTTATAAATATAAATATTTATATTTATAAAGTATAATAAATAATATACTCTATATACAATCACTCTGTATATCGTCTGTTTCGCGCTGTATGCACGCCTCAGCGCGACACCGAATGGCACAAAGTGGGGGAAATGGGGCCTCAGGACAGTCGCGGCCGTCAGTCGTGATACGCGAAACGGGTTACTTCTCTCATGGCGCAGAGTATAGTATCTGTATTTTATTCTCTAATCAGTTTTCAGAGTCAAATTTCGGTTGCACTGAAAGCCATTACGCAAAGAAAATATTGGTTTCAAGTGTCTCAAACGAATACGACAAAATTAAAAAATTTCAGCTATAAAAGGGTGAAGGAAATACATTTTTTTTTATTTATTAGAGTTAAATAAAAAAAAACAATTATAATAGTAGTTGAATATTTTCAAAATAGAGTTTTAGGCTTTGTTCTATTTTCATGTATGTTCCATTTAAACAAGTCGTGACACAACGCATAATTTATACCCTATTGGAGTTGACTATACAAAGCCCGATGTGGTGGACGCCTGGACCTATAGCTAATAATGTTTTTGGTCATCAACTGATGTAGAAAAGCTTTTTGAAACAAAATTTTGCGGTGAATTTTATTTTTGTTACATAACGAATGATGGTAAACTGTTTTCAGACACGCAACACAGCTACAGACGCTGTAACATCATAATTATTTACAAATTGGAATAACAAAATAATAAAGATTATCCAAATTATTATTCCACATTTTGATTGGGTTTTTAATTATTTAACAAGATTAATTCAGACGTTGGACGAATACAACGTAAAATTGTTAAAAAGCGTAATTGGTATTTTTTTTTATCTTGTCCTTAAACTTTGCTTCTAATTTTAACGGTCGTAAACGCCGTTGTGCGCAGTTCGCAGATATCGTGTTTTTAGAACGTTGTTCACGCGTGATTATAAATTAGTAGTGTCTAATGATTTATTTTCGTTTATTGGCAAAAACGTTTTAAGGTTACGGAGTAGATGATAAAAGAAAAATCTAGTATCTGGTGACCAGACACGTGTACACACGGTCAGTGAAAGCCTAGACCTAATTGAACGCGAAGATGATAAACAATCGACGCTGTAAACAATGTATCAAAGCGCATTTATATTTTATACAAACACAAATAATAAAATATACAAGTTAACCGTGATCTAGAGTCCAATATATTTATGTATCTTTACTAAATCCGTTTACGCGATAAATATATTAGCCGTGACCCACATAATAGTCTAGTTGATTTTATTATACACATTATTATTATTATTATTATTATTATTATAAATAGGCATCTCCGCCTGTCAACATTTTTTAACGATTACAGCGGTCCGCGAAAACAGTTGTATGGTATAAAATATTATTGTAATTATATCATCTATATAATACACGCTTTATTATATTTATATTAAAAACATAAAATTATATATTATAAGCATCGTCCGGGCCGCCTCACTCCGTTTACGCGTTGTTTCCATTCCCCGGCCCTTTACCCAACCGCTATTTCGTGTTTGTCGATACGCACGACCCTGGTTTTTTATCATGCAATCGTCTGATAATAATAATTTTTGTATATTATTTTACTTGTGTCTCAGGAAACGTAAGCGCGGTTTTCACGTACAAGTGGAAGGGCGAAGACATGGCTAGGATGTTGGAAGACAAGACCAGGCGGGTGGTAGTCAAAATCACCATAGCCAGCCACTGCAACAGACCTTACGCCAACATAAATAGGTGAGTTCAACAAATTAACGATCAATACAACGGCGACGGTTGACACAAAATTTGTGATTTTTGACCGATATGAATATTTTGTAGGTTATTAAAAAATACACTCTCTAATGTCACAATTATGTGCACGGGTATAATTTGGGATTATTAATAAAAAAATGTATGAAAAAAATAATTGCGTATGCACCGTGTATGCATATTTATGTACTGCATAGTGACGCATGAACTGTTTATTGATTTGACCGGTTTTGCGGTCGACAACTCGTTAATCGCGGCAGTACACCATTTTCTAGAATTAAATTAGTCTATGTTTATTTGCAATATATTTTAAGGTACTAAGTTAAAATTTATCATTAAAAATAACAAAAAATCAAGCATTTCATTAATTTTGTAGCAAGCATGTAGTTTCGACGTTTAAATGGGTGTAAAGGTTGGTGAGTGGTTACTTTAGTAACTAGTAGTGTGTACTTCTTTGTTTGATATTGTATAATATTTTAATACAAGTAGACTAATATCAAAACTCACATAATCAAAAAATCATATTTTTCAGAATACCCCAAAAATAATGCGAATCCCAATAAGTTGTTTTCATACTAACCACGACTTTTAAATCTCCGTCTAGCCCGTACTGGTGTGTTTTAAAACAAACTTAAAAAATATTTGGATTCGCCGTCAAAAATCCTAAAATACAGAGTTGGAAACTAATTTTCTCATTTGTTGAATCACGTGAGTTTTGAGTTTAGTCTTTTCATATGAACATTATTGTTTAGCTTAACCGATTTCTTCATGTAAGTAAGCATATAGATGAGAAATCGTAATAAAACTATACTTCATCGGACCAAACATTTTAAAGATTACCCCATACGATTCGAAATAGAAAAAAAAAACGTCTAGTAAATGTACTTATGTACATTTGTGTCAATATTCAATACTTCTATCATCTTTTTATCACTATCAAAAATTCCTGAAAAATGTGACTTTTTTTTATATCTTCGCCACCCCAACTTTACCCGGACCCACTGTGCTGCCTTTTTTTCTATTACTCGAATTCGTGTGTTTTCATTGTTGTGCATGTGCTATCACTTTAACAGAATACTCGTGAATATGTATATCCAAGGTTCGTTATCGCAACAGTAAAAAAAAAATGTTGCTGACCTGTGGGGCATACTCGAAAACCAATTATAAATTGAACATTAGGTACTCAGTTTTTATCAGGTCAGATAACTCTAAAGTCATTATTATTGTTATATTACCTACGTTACCGAACGTTGTTTGCCTAACTGCGTGCATCGTGTACGAGACATCATTACGTTTTTCTTTACCTTATAACTTATACTATCAAAATCCGAATGTGTATTATAATATATAAGGCATGATAGAGCTAAGAAGACCTGGCGGCTTGTTAACCGTCGTGAACTTGTTTTTCTTTCTTCGAAATGATGTGTTTTCCTGTATATAGCTGAAGTTAAACAATCGTAATTTGATATTATCAAGTTGTTGTACCGAAACGCAATTGTTATTGTTTCTTATTGTTTTATATTCCGTTATGTAATATTATACTGACGTGAACAACGATTTGAGTGGGGTTACAACTTCGACCGTTTAACGTTACACCGAAATTGAATTAAAGATATATTAAATATTACCAATCGATCAGCTTGAGTAAATGTTATAAAAGAAAACTGATAAACGTCGATAATTTTTAGTTACTAAAATACGTTATAAAACATTTTGTAATGTGGTCGATAGCACTTATGTAATATGTTAATGGTTAATACGAAGTGGCAATGTATGTATAAATTTATATATAACACATACAGAATACAGATATAGAAAACAACTTAGGTCCAAACTATGTAATATATATTATTCTATGCTATTGTCAATATTTCTTAGAATTTAAAGATAGAAATAACAATTTTCTTTCGTCGATCAATATTGGATTTGCTGTATGCAAACCGTATAAATTGAAATTCAACAGGAAAATGCTATTATCGTTTTTAGGGTTTTGTTTCTTTTTGAAAAATTCGATTACCTCTTCAAGCAAGGCATCGATTTCTGTGAGTAACGACTAGTGTTAATGGATTACATCTAAAAAAAAAAGGAGCCTAGGGCTCCGTGCATGATTAACTACACCAAAGTACACATTTTCTCATCACATGTTTCTACCGAGTTATTATTTGAAGACTATTCAGTGAGGGTCATGTAAGAAGGCAAGTCATTATTGTTAATTAACGTTTATTACATCGAACCAAAAAATACCTGTAGGCTGTAACTAAATGGACTGTGGATGTCATGACCACACTTAGATATTTAAACTAATTTTAATAAGTAGTGATTCAAATTTGTACACATCTGCGTTGTTGCTGTTGTTTAAGGTTTTTTTTATTGGTAACTACTTATATAAGGTATAATAATGCTACTTTAAATACACTCACTTTTAATTAATGTATTATCCATCTGATTTCCATTACTTTACGTTTAAAACGCAATACGTTGTATGATGAAAATAATTATTAATAGACACTAATTAACTTATGGCAGTTCAATACACCTTATATATAAATAGCTTTATCATTTTGCTATACAAGATAAATACTTTTAGTTTCTTCTATTTTCTTTTTTAGTTAACACGTACATGAACTTTACCTACAACAAATGCTGTTGTTAATTTTCCAATCAAAATATTTGTGCGAACGGCTTGATACTTTAAAGTATTGTATCTATCAATTTACTACGAGTTACTACGGCTAAACTGAGTATTCAAAAATATTGTATATTATTTTGAACGTGAGTACTGTTAAATTATGATGTTATTACCGAAGTCGACGAGGCCTACCCGCGCACATCCACAGTTCAATGTCCTGTTCAATGTGTTTCTTCCTATAGTAGTTATTAACGTTATTATGACGAACCCCGATGACTTCAATCTCCCCGGCAGATTGTATTATTATGTTCAATTTGTTCGCACGAACTAAGCAGGCATAGCTCTTACATTTTTACATTTACAAATTACAGTTATCTAAAAACGTCATACTAGTCAATGTTGAATGTGGTTTTTAAGCGGTGTTCAACGACTAAAAGATAAACCAATATGGGTCAATAGATATATCTAGGAAGTAGCTTACTGGAGTGGAGGTGTAAGGTGGGACTAATATCGGTTTGCGGATATCCGGTATTTGATATCCGGTAATTCGGATACGGATATCCAAATCCGAGTTCGGATACGATGTTGCCGGATATCCGAAACTATCCGTACGTCGTAGGATGGCCCACCTAAAAGTAATTGGCTGTGTGTTAATTACTATTTTGTGGTATCCTAGGCGATCAATGCAGCATAATAATTTAAAACCGTCATTAGTTCTGTTCAAGACAATAAACACGCCTTGGTAAAAATATTAACAATCAAACCATCAGCAGAGAAATGTAAAAAGCTGATGGGATGGGGGGGGGGGGTAAAACCTAAAAACCCTCCTGGCTTTGATGCTGTAACTAACACAATACTTGAATTTAATTTTCAAAAAAAATCCATGCAGACACCGTAAACAGTGAAAATACTCTATTAACACACCTCTTAACGTTTTTTTTTTTACTTAAGTAGTTATGACATCATGTTTACCTTAATGATTATATTAACAGTAAAGAGAAACGAGAGAGAAAGAAAGCCAACAAAAAATTAGTGGAAGTTGCCATACATAAATTAAAAATAACACGTCATACAACTTGTAGCAAGACATATTTTTATACTTGGTTGTAAAATGTTATAAATAAACAGTATTACTTCAACATCTCAGTTTAATAGTTTTTAAACAATAAATTTACATTGATAATAAAATTATATTAGGTATTAATAAAAACTCCATAACACTTGTCGAAAATTGTACCGTAGACATAATATATATTTTTTGCTTATAAATTTGTATATGATCAAATATTTTAGTTACTTTTAAATAATAATTATAATCACTAAATCAATAAAATTATATTGTTATCATTTATTTTTGTAATTAATATAGATTATAGAACATAAATAATCGTTTGCACATTTGTATTTATTCTCATTATTGATATGCTATATTATACATTAACTTAACGAAACAAATGATCTTATAGTGACTACTGGCTAGATTAGATATCGTACAACACTAATGTAGCAGCTTATTTACTAATTAATAATAATTGTTTCGGGTTACTACATTAAGACCTAACGTTGCATGCAGTAAAAATAAATAGGTAAATTATAACTATGATCATTCAATATTTAGTTTTCATTTTCAAATGAATTGGAAAAGTTGTTTTAAGGTTAACAAATTAATAGTTGTATATTAAATGCTTTAAACGATAAAATCCTCTTGGCGGTAGACCCCAGGATTAAGGCATTAAGACCTGTCTCGTTTACTTTTTATATCATATAGCCAAAAATCAAAACAGACGTCTAGTAATAAGCTTTTACAAATCCTATTGTTAGTTTTCCTGAAAGGTTAATAATGTCTTTAAACTCATTTTCGTTTTGTATTAGTAGGCCACTGTTGGTAATTACATTAAAATTTCACTATCATTGTGTTCATACAGGCTCAGCGTAATCAGCGACGTTCATATTATATAGACGAGAACACATAAACGCGCTAACAAAACCAATAGTCTATAGTCTGGAAGTTGTATCAGAGTATGTTGTTCAGAGGCAACAGCTTAAGTGTATATTGCCAGTGCCCGTCATGCGTTCATTGTGTGGCGATAATAGTTATTTGAAGCAATCACATTTGTTATAACTTTCTACATTCCTGTATCTGTTAAAAAAAAAGATAAACCAATGTTTGATTTTGACGTAGGTATTAAAGCTTTACCGGGTAAGGAAATAAATATATTAAATTTATTGGAATGTGTACTAAAATTATCAACATCTACGCTGAGATGACTATAGGTAGTTATCCCGTTATTGTAAATAGATACTCGTTAGAGGACTTACGGAACAACCATGACGTTAGATTGATCGAATATTTAAA